TAGACAGTGTGAAGTGAACAGCTATTCAAAAGTTCAAAGGTTGTGATGTTAGGAGTGAGGTGGCATTTATCCCTCTGTACTTGTACTGCACTAAAGAAAATTACCCTCAAACCTCCAATATAAGCCCTGGTCCCTGTGACCCACAGAGGGCCCTAGTCCCAATGTTTGATCTTGTAGATCATGACTTAAAGCATCAGCTGATTGCACTAATGCAGCTGGTGAGATTGTAAACTTAGTCATTCAGTCAACTTCACTTCTTGGTGGAGACCAGGAAAGACCCAGGACATGTGTCTCTCAGCTGGCCTGGCAACGCCTCAGGATTCCTCCTGATGAGCTGGAGGAAGTGTGTGGAGTGGGACGTCTGGGCATTTGCTCTGACCCTAACGGGAAAAAAAGGAAGAACATATTATATTTTGTATGTTTTTCTCATTAATTGACCACTGTGTATGCAATGAAAGAATGACCTGTGAAGCATCTTGTTGAGTGCCCAAAAACTACACAAAACCGATTAATAATAATAATAATAATAATAAGAATAGGGCTCGAATATGTATATTGTTTTAGCACTAGTTTTCAACTATTTAAATAATTAACATTTAGTCTTGTGACAGTACCAGAGTCTAGATATGAAGTTGTAAATGATTGTTTACTAAAATAGTTGATTTTTGAAATTGGTCAATCATTTTTTAAATAGTTGTAATAAGAAAATGATCATTAAATGGTTTATTGAATCTTTGATAGTCTTTAACATGTGAGGAGAGGCTTAGTCTCAGCTAACTCCATATTGACTGCAGAATGAAAGGAAAATGTGTGTACAATCCAAGCAGGAGTCATCACTTGGGTCAAATGGAGAATGGGTAAAACTCTTTTTGTTATAACGGCCTTAGTTTCCATTATTTGTTGTCACACAAATAGTAAACTAATACTCAGATCTATGCCTCACTGACTGCAGGAGAACATGGACCAGTGGACTCACTCCTTCACTGTATCCAACAGATCAGTGAGTGGATGCAAAACAACTTCCTTCAGCTAAACGCAGACAAAACTGAAATGATTGTCTTTGGTCCCCAGAAACAAAGAGCGTCATCTGTCACCTCCAGTTTCTTCCTAAAACCTTCAAACCCGGTCAGAAATCTAGGGGTAATACTGGACTCAGACTTACATTTTAATAGCCACATTAAATCAGTAACATCAGCAGCTTTTTACCATCTAAAAACCATTGCCAGCGCAGCAGACGTGCGTAACTTTTTCCCATGTTAACCTTCCTCTACACTGCTCCATAGACTACACAAGGACAGCATCAGAAGCCGCGGACCTGCACGCACGGCCAGTGTAGATACTGCAAAAAAAAATTACGCGCAGTCAACGCTTACGGGCTGTTAACGCCTACTGTGTAAATTCCCTGTGATGAGGGGCATGGACACAGCAGGTCTTTGCTCCTCCGCTGAAACCATCTATATCCAGACACGAACTACAGTTTGTGTCTGGATGCACTTATAATTTTGCTCACCTGCTGCAGCTGTGATGATTGGGGTTATTCAGGAACATGCACATGTGTCATGTCTAGACTTGGCCCCTGTTCTTACTAAGGCCATGTCTGAGACTCCAGTCCTGAAGGAGGAGATGGAGAAGTTAGCACTTTATTGATCACACAGTGGCAGAATTTCACCTGACGGCTGTTGGTTAACTCGTTGTGTGCCATTGACGCACTAATACGGCAATTGCGTTTCTCTATTTTCATGTTCCCAGATGTCTATTATATCTAATATGTATGGGGATTCGCTTGAGAGCATTTTTTAATCAAGCCAACCGGTGGCAGTAGCGCTCTGGATTGTTTGAAAAAAGCTAGATGCACTTATTGTGCCTCGTTTTTCTCAACTTTTTGGTGATTTCAGTAAAACTTCCCTCTACTCGACTGGGGATTACAGGAGAACAAAACAAGCTAGAAACTAGAGCTGCAACTAACGATTATTTTGTAATCGATTAATTTATCGATTATTTTTACAATTAATCGAATAATCGCTTGGCTGTAAATTGTGTAGATTTTTTTTTTTTTTCATCACAAAAAGCTAAAGTGGCAACACTCGAGGACGTATTGATGGCGTAAACTTAAAGTAAATGTTTGTAACAGGCTCTTTGAGCTAATTCTGCTCTGATTGGATGAGACAGACAGATATTCATGAAATTATAAAAACAAACTCTGTTTTAATCAAAAATACTACATTTTCATGTCATTTTTGCTCTGTTTGAGTCCGTGTGAACCAGAAAACGATTAATCGATTACTAAAATAGTTGTCGACTATTTCAATAATCGATTAGTCATCGATTTAATCGATTAGTTGTTTCAGCCCTACTAGAAACACAATTCTTTTTGCTGCTGAAGTACAGTCCATTCTTTCAGAATCTGGTTTCGGATTCCAGTCATAGTACACAATATTCTGTGGGTCTTAAATCTATAAACTCATCAGAAACTGCTGGCAATATGGGAGTACCTGTTCTGAGATAGACACTCATTGCCTACCAGCCTATTATTGTATTTCCATTCAAAAACAAGAAAGGAGCCTGCATGCTGTCCTACTTGAATGGCTTTAAAAATGTATAATTTGTAAATACATTCGACAATGCAAGTAAGGCAGTGTAGGATCTTGTTTTTTAATGCACGGAACACCATTTAGAGGCTCATACACTTTTGAATGAACTCAATAAGCAGAGCCTTTATTTGAAGAATATCTTGTACAGTTATATGTCTAATCAAACATACCTGACCTATGGTCCCATGGACGGTGGTTGCTTGGGCTTTGTATGCAGTCATTTCAAAGTATTTACCCTTTTCTCAAACATTAATTGTGATTGATGTCCACCTCGTTTCTTTGTTCCTTAAAAATAACAAAACACAGTTTAATCTTCATGTCCTATTATTGTTAGTTCAACAGCGGTGAAAGTATTATAGTAGCAGAGTTTTTTATCCACATAACAAATACAAAATCGGTAATATTGCTTCACTAAAACTTACACACAAAGTAATACAAGATACATGTGTCAATATTATGTTTTCTTACATCACGAGCTGGAGCCTGTGCGCTACCAACCTTTCTGTCCATATCTCCTCAATAATAATTGTTACAGAAAATGCATTTTTGCTCAAACAAACAATCATTTGACGTTGAGAAAAATAAGTTCTATTAATATTTAAAATGATCAATTTAGATCCATCATTTCACATCAAATTTAACTTTACCTCTAGAAAGCGTCAGACAGTATGTTAAATCCGAATGACCTGTGTAGTTGAAGCTAACATGACGTGAGGCGGACTGAGGCTGTTCTGAAGATTTTCCAGAACTATTTTCAAACCAAAGCTAACAACAGACCGTCGCCTAAGCCGTCCGAGCGCGTAGTAGCATCAAAACTGCCTTTAAACGCGGATTACTCTATGAAATCTTAATATAAACAGACAAAACTTACCACGGAGGAAGATACACATGTGTAGAAAGTACCCACCAAACGTTAGCGGTGAGCGCTAAAGCTTAGGGCTGGGCGATATAACGATATATATCGCGATAGACATGTGTTCGATATCAATAGAGAATGGGGTCGATAGAATGTTCAATAGTTTAACTTAACTCTGTCAGGAAAAACGGGAAGAAAACACCGGAAGTAAAGCAGACTCATAAGCGCATGGCATTGTGGGGGATGTAGGCAGAGGCTTCTCGACCAATAACAGCCGAGTAGGAACCGCAAAACTCTCTGGGAAATGCAAAAACGCCAACAACCGCACCATGCGTAGCGTCCATGGATCTATAGCTCGTGTTTCAACGAGTTCCACAAAAAGGTGGGGGTGTCCGACTCAGGATAATAGGCACCTGAAAGTGTCCGACTCAGGGTGCACTCCCGTTAGTTGTTAATTGACTCATGTCTTGTGTGTTTTTCGTTTTAACGTGTGCATGCTGTCGATACGTTTCTGAAATATTTCTCCCTTGCCACATACGTTTATTGTTATTTGGACGTGTGTATTTTTGTGTTTTATTATTTGCTATATCATATTTTGGCTCACAATGTGTCCACTGACAAATAAAATTATGCCTTTTTTTAACCATATTCTAAGTATGGGTCTGCCCTTACTGCTAATTTGCACATTGTACTTTTCACCAGAATGATTGACAACTAGGAGGACCAATAGTCTGAGTAGGGGAAAGCTGCAGACCCGGAGCCGAGGCAAATCTACCGTGAAGCAAATCCACCGTGATAGTGCCCCCTCTGCTGGTAAAGGCAGATATACGACGGTCTTAGCTCTTGGGAATATTCATTTGGATCAAGTCAACGAACGTGAGTAGACTTTAATCGAGTTATTTCATTTTTAACACATTTTTGAAATCGTAGATGCTTCTGGTGTTTGCTAAAGCTAACACTTAAAACAACATACGAATTACTTGATTTCCCCCCCAAAGATGAGACGTAATTTTCGTCTTAAAATAGCGTTTAAGCTAGCGTTTAAGTTGGTTGTAAATTAGTAAAACACAATACATAATCCCAATTACATAGGCTACCCAAAACATTTAATTATTCATATGTATCAAGGGTATACTTTTACTTTCTGTGGCAAATTATTGCATATTTTAATTTTAAAGAATCTTGGCCAGGACACTTTTGAAAGAGATTTTTAATCTCAACGAGCTTTATCCTGGATAAATGAAGGACAAATACAATGTAAAAAAATTGCACCATTATTAATGGCACATTGTTGCATGTATATGTTATTCCAGACTAGTTTTGACTATATTATTCATATGTTAATTTGAAATAAAAATAAAATTTACATTATTCTTCCCCTCAGATGGATATTACAATACGAAAGGACAATGATTCCCTGCCTGAGATAAAGAGGTGCACAGATTGCTGCAGTGATTTCCACTGTCCATTCTGTGGTCCGAATCATTTCAAGCCGACAGAGCTGGGAAGAGTGAAGCGTCACCTTAAAATGCACTTCACTAGATCTGTCAATTATGACGGTAACTTCAAAAATGTTTTGACAATTTACATATTTGTAAGACATTCATTAATATCCTGCTATTTCATTTCATTTTCAGGATTTACCATTCACAGATGTGGCCTCTCATGTAGAAAGGACTTACACTATCACTGCTTGTATTGTAAATTAACTGTTAGACGAAAGGACAATTTTATAAAACATCTAAAAGGTCACTCCTCAATGCCTCCAGTGTCCACCACAGTCGTGCCCAGCACCTCAATGCCTCCAGTGTCCACCACAGTCGTGCCCAGCACCTCAATGCCTCCAGTGTCCACCACAGTCGTGCCCAGCACCTCACCCAGGTACACATTTTACTTTTTACTTTGTTATGGAATCTGCAAGCTAACATTATTAACCCAATGATTTCTCTCCTTTTCTGTACTGATTACAGCAATGGCTGGTTAGTTACCACAATAAAAATATTAATTTGTTCCAAAATATTGTCTCTGTCCCTTGTTCCTTATTATTATGAACAAATGAAGGCACTGTCCTACAAAATACAATGAAATATTGGAGTAAAACATAACATTTTAATTTAATAAAATAACCAAAATAATAGTACATGTAAACTAAGTTACACCACATTGTAAATTACACACAATAATCCCAACAATACAACTGTAAAACGTGAAATAAATACCGTCGTATATCTGTCTTTACCAGCAGAGGGCGCACTATCACGGTGGATTTGCTTCACGGTAGATTTGCCTCGGCTCCGGCTCTGCAGCTTTCAATTATTGAATAGTCTTGACGATCCACCCGGAAGTACAAAGTTCTTCCATATACCTAAATGTTTTTGGTGTGGTTTTGATAGCTTTGATTCAAATACTTGAGTAATTCTGTAGTGCGACGAGTCAAGACTAAACATGTTTTAGATTTATGCAGCTAAAAACCTAAAATAGTCTTCCTGAAAATGTAAGACGGGCTTCTTCTATGAAATTGTTCAAATGTGTGTGATTGTTTCTATCTCGTTTTGTTAAGCACTTGAAGTTGCCTTGTGTGTGAACTGTGCTTTACAACTAAATTTGCCTTGCCTTATTATGTATACATATTTTATTTTATCGTTGCAAAAATTAATGCTGTCATACGTAAATAATCCATGTTACTTGTGCGGCGTGGCAATTGCTGCTAATAAGAATAATCTATATTTAATAAATGGTATGAAATGGGGAAAATTCAGACCACTCACAACTGACATGGATAAAAATCGAAAGGAATCTTGTGTTACTTGAAATTGAGACGATATTTTTAGCCAAATCCCTCAGCCCATAGTAATGTCCCCAGTCTCTGCATCTTCCCAGTAATACAGCTTATCATAGGGTGACATCTAGTGGTGAGATCTTAGTACTACATCAATAAGTGTGAGCCTTATTTGATTTGGTTTAATTGCGATGCCTTTAAATATCCAGTTGGGGGCGCACCTCAGTGGAGTGGAGTGGAGTGGAGTTAGCCTGGGTACATGGGAGAAGCCTGGTTAGTACTGTGATGTGAGACCTCTGGCAACACCAGGTGCCACAGTGGGGTGGCTGTAAAGTGTCAAACTGTTGCTGTGTCCTTAGGTAAGACGCTTCACCCACAGTAGAATGAGTCTGGTGTGTGTGTGTGAATGGCTGATGGTACATACAGGTTGCCTGGCTTTGTCAGTGTGTCCCAGGGCAGATGTGTCTACAGTAGTAGTTTATCACCACCGTGTTTGGAGTGTTTTTGAGTTTCCAAAAATCACTATTTAAACGGATTTAATATGATGATTATGATTTTGTTGTCTGTGTGCAGATTGTTCTGAGGATTCTAATTCTATGATTTGTTTTTCTACTTCACAACAGCAGCAGTCGAACGAGAAAGCGAGAGGACTTCCTGGAGTGGCCTGAGTATTTCATGGCTGTGGCGTTTCTATCGGCCCAAAGGAGCAAAGACCCAAACTCGCAGGTGAACATTTAGGTTAGACCAGTTTATTTGAGTAGCACAGTTCATGAGCAAGGCAACTGTAAGTGCTTAACATAAGAAGATGAGAAACATAAGATAACGCCCTGTATGATTTTAAGTAGGAGGCCAGTCCTTGTGCTCCTGTGTCCATAGGCAAGACTGACTGACAGCTATAGATGAAGTCGACAGAACGAGGACCAATATTCATAACAAAATAAAATTGAAGTATCAGACATCACCTTTAAATGAAAAAAAGGTACTTCAAGCCAGTGCAGAGACCTGAGAACTGGACTAAATGCGATGGTTCTTCCTGGTGTTCTAGTCAGGACTCCAGCTGCAGTGTTTGTAGATACTGTGAAATGCAGGGTTAAGATAAGAGATAAGAATCTCCAAGTCTGCTTTATAAATCGTATGTGTAAAATAATTGTCATGTTATATGATGTAAGAGTACACCACATGACGCTGTAGAGAAAAGTAAAAATCTGACGGCGAGGAACTCTGAAGGTGAACCATGGTATAGTGAGGGACTATTGTACTTGATTTTGCTTCTGCTGTTGTTACTGTCTTTAGCTGAATAATGTCATGTAATCTTTCCATCTCTTCCTGTTGGGGGCTGGTCTGCAGGTGGGTGCGTGCATCGTGAACCAGGAGAATAAGATTGTGGGGATCGGCTACAATGGGATGCCAAACGGCTGCGATGACGACCTCCTGCCCTGGTCCCGGACTGCAGACGACCAGCTGGACACAAAGTACCCCTACGGTGAGAACCAGACGCTACGGGAGGGAGGGGACCCGTCTTCCAACTGCGTACACTGCAGAAAAATAATAAAATATGATGTAATAATTGCTTGTATCGAGGGGTTTTATCTTGATTTGGAAGTTGTTTTATAAAAACAATCTGATTCTCCAATAATTTTTGACTCATTTTTCATAACTTTTTGCAGTGTAGACCCTTGTTTCTCTTCAGATCTTGGGGCAATCTCACATTCATTCATCTAGATTCTCAGTTTTTATTTATATGAAATTGAAGAATGATGAACTTTCTCAATGAGGGCCAAGTTATTAAAGGTAACTCAAACAGTGCACTCCCTTGGGAGACCAGCAGTGACTCAAAATGGTTCCAATATGACATTTATATTCTTTGTATGTGAAAATACAACTAATTTGTCACGCCCAGTGTAAATAAAAAGAGAAACTTCCATTGTGCAATATTTTCTGAGTTTCCGGTAAGTCTTTCTATTGCCGATAAATCATGTGATGTGGCACATCCCCCAGAAAGAATGCATTGTCTTTTTAAACGCCACACGTAACCTGATGTGTGTGTGAGTGATTAAAGGGCATTTGCTTAATCAAACTCCTTTTGAACCATGTAAGTGAAGATTACAAAGTCTGGGATCATGTCTTTAATTCAGGCAGAAGACTTGTTTCATTGTCGATGGTAGACGAACAAAGATTTTACAGAATGCAAGTGATATTATACAGCATCGAGGAATGGAGTCCTCCAATCAGCTTTCGCCACAGTGCCAGTTTCTTGACCTTCAGAAATCAAAACATGCAGTGGAAAAGTACTGATGAGTTAGAACTTTAACCACAGTTGCTTCAAAGTGTCATGAAATCTCTAAAAAAGGTAAGGAAGAGGGCATTCCTTTTGTTTGATTTTTATTGAAGTCCCTGTGCTCCGCAGAGTCCCAGTTGCTTCATATGGCACTACTAATGTACTTGTTACTTGTGCGTTTTGCAAGTTCAAAATAACTATAAATCTTAAAGAAAATGCTTTGCAAGTCACTCTAAGCGCTTCAAGGAACCAGACATGCAGACACAGGGAGCGACGCGGGTGAAGTCTTTCCCAAGGACACACTGTAGCTGGTTTCACACCTGTGGGTCAGTCCATCTGACTGTCACCAAATAAACCTTCATTCTATAAAACAAACAAATTGAAATATATATGTATGTATATTGTTATAGTATTACATACCCCAAAGCAAGGAGAAAGCCCAAAAGTATTTGTCTTAATTCAGGAGCGTAAGTTTATTGTAACGCACGTGCGGAGAGTCAGCATATCCACACAAAGGCAGCATGTACCAGCTCTGAGCCCAGGGCTCCGAGTTTCCTGTATACAAGACACACACGAAAGACAGTCCCGCCCACAACAGATGCAAGACGCGGAGGGAGGGATTTGCGTCATTGTCTGGCGGTGCGGGACCTTCCTGCCGGTTATCAGAATACAGTGATTTGCGTCATTGTCTGTAGGTGTCGGGGGAACCCGGCTCCTTCCTGGAGCAGGGACATATGAATAGAAGCAGGCATACAGATGCAAGATACGAAAGACACAAGGGTGTGACAGACAGCAGGGGCCCTCACAAAGCTCAGCATGGCGTCAGAAGGTCGTCTCTGCATTGATAAAAGGCCTTTGACGTCCGTGTATTTGCTGCGGCTGGTTTTATGTAATTACTCCAAAAACTGTCACCACAATATATAAGGTCTATTTTGTTGCAAATAAGGAAGCCGTGGCTTATAGTGCCCTACCCTATTAACAAAACATTAAAAAACGTATGAAAATGAAGGCCGATGGTGCTGTGGGCTCTGCCTCTGCTGCGCCTGCATTTGGTCCTACAAGACAAAAACCTGAAGTCTACAGGACTGCGGATGGCAAAATTCTTGTGGAGGATGAATTCTTACACTTTATATCTGCGAGAGCTCAAACTTTTATTCCAGTGTAGCATATATGGAGATTGGATCAAGTTGGACTAGGTCAGAAGCAGAAGCTAGGTATGGCTCTGGGAGGTGCAGGGACAGTAAAAAGCACAACGCATGAGTTTCAGTTTAGCGACACAAGACATTATTATTATTATTATTATTAATAATACGTGGAAATGCATAATTTACAGTGAGATGTGGTAGAGCAATGGCCTTTGAGCATGACGGTTGTGGGTTCGAGCCCACCTCAAGACCTACTTCACGACTCCCACTGATGTCTGCTGTCGTTGTGTCCTTGGGCAAGACACTTGACCCCACTTTGCCTGAAGCTCCCACTGAAAGATCTCAGCTCCTGTGGACTCAGCACCTGCAGGAGGATCAGTGAGGGACTGGTGCTCTGTGTACTGGGTGCAGCTCTGACTGCCACCCCCCCGACCCAGAAATGGATTAAGAGGAAGAAAATGGATGGATGTGTTAGATGTAATGTAATCTTTATTTATATATATACCGCCTTTTCACTGCACATCGGAGTCTCAAAGCGGTTTACAATTGTTATTTTTTTGGGAGTGGGGTCGCCAGTATAGGAGGCACATGCCAGACCTATTGTACATATTTTTAGTGGTAGGGGAAACCGGAGTACCCGGAGGATACCTACGCTGACACGGGGAGAACATGCAAACTCCACTCAGAAAGGCCCTGGTCCAACCGGGATTCGAACCCAGGACCTTCTTGCTGAGAGGAGAGAGTGCTATCCACTCAGCCACCGTGCCGCCCAAGTGGCAAGAGTAGATGAAGGTGAATGAGTCATGGAAGCTAAAAGTTAAGCTACTACCTGGTCACATGATTTAATTGAGGTATTTAAGACAGTCCATCTGCTACGTGGTGTGTGTGATTGACGCGGTATTTAATCTTTTAATATTTCCGTCATTTAAATTCCATTGCGCTGGACCATGGAGCCAAAAATGTGAATCTGGTGCCAATGTCCCGGGGGTTTGAGGTCCTGACTGTAGCGGTGATTTCAAGTCTCTGCGTCTCTGTCCCACAGTTTGCCACGCGGAGCTCAACGCCATCATGAACAAGAACAGCGCTGACGTCAAAGGCTGCACCATGTACGTGGCGCTCTTCCCCTGTAATGAGTGCGCCAAGCTGGTCATCCAGGCAGGTAGGCTGTGGACCCAGGACCGAGGCCGTAGACCCAGGACCAAGGCCGTAGACCAAGGCCGTAGACCCAGGACCGAGGCCGTGGACCCAGGACCGAGGCCGTGGACCCAGGACCGAGGCCGTGGACCCAGGACCGAGGCCGTGGACCCAGGACCGAGGCCGTGGACCCAGGACCGAGGCCGTGGACCCAGGACCGAGGCCGTGGACCCAGGACCGAGGCCGTGGACCCAGGGCCGAGGCCGTGGACCCAGGGCCGAGGCCGTGGACCCAGGGCCGAGGCCGTGGACCCAGGGCCGAGGCCGTGGACCCAGGGCCGAGGCCGTGGACCCAGGGCCGAGGCCGTGGACCCAGGGCCGAGGCCGTGGACCCAGGGCCGAGGCCGTGGACCCAGGGCCGAGGCCGTGGACCCAGGGCCGAGGCCGTGGACCCAGGGCCGAGGCCGTGGACCCAGGGCCGAGGCCGTGGACCCAGGCCGAGGCCGTGGACCCAGGGCCGAGGCCGTGGACCCAGGGCCGAGGCCGTGGACCCAGGGCCGAGGCCGTGGACCCAGGGCCGAGGCCGTGGACCCAGGGCCGAGGCCGTGGACCCAGGGCCGAGGCCGTGGACCCAGGGCCGAGGCCGTGGACCCAGGGCCGAGGCCGTGGACCCAGGGCCGAGGCCGTGGACCCAGGGCCGAGGCCGTGGACCCAGGGCCGAGGCCGTGGACCCAGGGCCGAGGCCGTGGACCCAGGGCCGAGGCCGTGGACCCAGGGCCGAGGCCGTGGACCCAGGGCCGTGGACCCAGGGCCGAGGCCGTGGACCCAGGGCCGAGGCTATAATAATAATCATTTTTAATAAATAATCTTTTTTAGTATAGCACTTTTAAAAAACAATAAAACAGACATAATACAAAGTCAAAATAATTAGATACAATAGATACAGGAAGACGGGGCAAAAGAAGAAAGACAAACAGACAAAGCAGACAATAAAATACAAAATGGGAAGTTTAAAACAAACAGTTAAAAGCTGTTTGATAAAAGTGGGTTTTAAGAAGAGATTTAAAAGAGGATACTGATGGTGCTAGCCTTATCTCCTCGGGCAGGTCGTTCCAAAGCCGAGGAGCCCGGACAGAGAAGGCTCGGCCACCTTTCGTCCGGAGCCTCGACCTTGGAACAGTCAACAGGGACCTGCCCCAGGATCTAAGGCTGCGGGGGAAGGGCTCGTAGGGGGTAAAAAGTTCATGAATATAGCTGGGTGCCAGACCTAAACAAGCTTTAAAAGAATTTTAAAATAGATTCTAAAACCAGTGAAGGGACGCTACAACACGGGTGATGTGCTCCCTTCTGTTAAAACCAGTGAGAAGTCTGGCTGCTGGTTCTGAACCAGTTGGAGGCGGCAGAGGGATTTGGAGTCGAGACCGGAGAGGAGGGAATTGCAACAGTCGAGGCGGGAGAAGATAAGGGCGTTGACAACTTTATGGAGATTGGGAGGAGTGAGAATGTTTTTAATCTTGGAGATGGTGCGGAGGTGAAGGAAGCAGGATTGGGTTGTTTTTTATTTGGTGCTATGAAACTTGGGTGGCATCTCTGACTGCCACCCCCCTGACCCAGAAATGGATTAAAGGGTAGAAAATGGATGGATGGATGTAGGAGCGGAAGGTGAGGTGAGAATAGAAAATGACAGAGGTTACAGGCAGAGGTTTGAAGACTGGGCTGAGGTGGGTTTGGATGTGGGATATTGATGGAGGCGGGTTGATGAGGAGGACTTCGGATTTGGAGGTGTTGAGTTGAAGAAAGTTATGGGCCATCCAACTGTTCACATCGTTAAAACAGTCGACCACAGCAGCCAGACTTCCAGGGTCGTTTGGTCTCAGCGGGAGGAAGATCTGTAGAACGAGGACTGGGGCTGTCGACCCACTAGTCCAGGCCGAGGGGAGACTGTCCACAGGTAGCGATGTAGGAGGCTGGGTTCAGAGGTCTCATCATCACGGCATGAAACGAACATTGGGACAGCGGGTGAATAGCAATGATCAGACTACAGCTTAACCCATTGAGGCTGAGAACGCATTCCCGCGTTTCTACCCTTCAAGCGGGAGCACTGTTGCGCACTTCTACCTTTTGAGGCCGGGAATGCGGACATGTCTTTTTTTTTTTCTTTTTGACCTATTCTCTTCATTGATCCATTCTCTTGACCAATGAAATGCATCAATTCAGCTAGAACTCACTGAATTGAAGCTGAGGTAACCAAAATGTTTGCTTGCATTGACAATGCATGTTATTTTTGCACAAAAGTAAAATGTTGTGAACAAATCAAACAGAACAAACCACAACAGTTGTGTTTTGTTTATTATACTTACTGAAGAAAGAGCCTTGTGAGTCATTATTTGACTATTTGGGCTGAGAGTGGATTTTATTTTATTTTTTATTCCATAGTTGGTGCCACTTTATTGCCCAACTCATTTTGACTTATTGTTTTGAGAAACATGTGTTCGTCTCACATTATTTTTGGCCGTTTTATTACCTTTCCTGTGTGGAAGTTGTATTTTTTGTGTTATTCTACTGAAGGTTCATAATAATACATTCCATCTTATTGAAAAGCCACAAGTGTCTGCTCTCAAATTCTTTTGAAATGTTTCTATCTGCTACAGAGGTCAGATGTCAATCATTCTGTAGACGTTGAATTTCAGGAAAACTTCAGGTTTTGGAGGTGGTTCTAAAGTCGGCCTCAGGTTTTACCGGTCTGTTTTATCAGCTGTGTCAGGCCTTAAGCCTAGTGCGCGGCGCTGCTTACGATACAATTATTTTATACTCCTTGCGGAGTTTTGAGGAGAATGTTGTAATCGCACAACCAACATGATGGCGATCTCACAGGAGTTGCTTGAGATACCAAAGCGGTCTCATTTATGCTGCTACTTTCTCCTCTTCAGAACAAAATAATATATCAAGCTCTGCCATGAGCCCAAACTACCTTTCCTTTGGTTCCTCCTTTGAAGGTTTCCTTTGAAGCTTGAAGCTCTCTGCTCCATAGTCCCTCGTCCATGCTCCTGCAGCCGCTCCGTGCTTCCTTCCAATACACACACACGGACCAATGACAGCGGAGCTGCCTTGCGGCGACCCTTACGTAGTTAGAACATTTTGATGCTGCGCGGCGGGCAAAGTAGGGGCCTTGCGGTGACCAACGCGTTGCGCAAGTGACGTCACCGCGCTGTGCGAGTATACACTAGGCTTTAATGGGTTTAGTCCATAATGATCACAGCTTTGTTTGTGCAAAATATAGGAACATTGCAGCAAACTGATCAATGCAAATGCAGAGATGGAATTAAGCCATTAAAACTGAATAAAAATATACATTTTTCAAACTGTCTACTGTAAAGAATGAGATGGTGGGACAAAGTTGATGTGTACAGGGTTGAACGGGGAAACCAATGAATCATTATTTGAGTCTGTAACTTTTTATTATCTTGAAGGTATTTTTACCAAATTGTTACTTATATTGAAGGAGTATAGATATACATTTTATATTTCTATGAACAAAATGCAGCTGCTTGGATGGGCTATATGCACGGGGAGGCGTGACGTCATTTCCTGTAAACAAATAACTGCTCGTTTACTTCCTGTCTGTGCTATCGCTATGGCTTTTAGGTGGGTTTTAGTGACGTTTTTCAGTAATTAGATACATTCAGCTGTGAGACTGACCCAAAAGTGTGGACGTGCTTTCTCTCTGAGATAAAGCTTTGACTGTGGCCACTCAGAACGATTAGTTAACTTTATAAAAGCACAATGACTGCACAATCAAAGAGCACTGCTGTGTCCCAAAAATGCCCAGTGTCCTCAGTTTAATTCCTGTTTGATTAGTTAGGAAACTTGTGTAAAATGTTGTGAACAAATCAAACAGAACAAACCACAACAGTTGTGTTTTGTTTATTATACTTACTGAAGAAAGAGCCTTGTGAGTCATTATTTGACTATTTGGGCTGAGAGTGGATTTTATTTTATTTTTTATTCCATAGTTGGTGCCACTTTATTGCCCAACTCATTTTGACTTATTGTTTTGAGAAACATGTGTTCGTCTCACATTATTTTTGGCCGTTTTATTACCTTTCCTGTGTGGAAGTTGTATTTTTTGTGTTATTCTACTGAAGGTTCATAATAATACATTCCATCTTATTGAAAAGCCACAAGTGTCTGCTCTCAAATTCTTTTGATTGTCGTGCTTCCTGCTTTGAAGAGAGCAGTCGTGTCTCTCTCTGCTCTGCTTTTGCTTCGCCTTTTAATCTCCTTGAATCATTTTATTTACATTTTTTTGTTTCTCCTTTAATCATTTTATTTACAAAACGAGGATTACTCCTTCTACACACTTCAGCTTTGTGGAATTTATCAACTTTAGTCATGTCGGGACGAAAGAGACGGAGAAGCGTCTGCGGTGGCTGTTGTGCTTTGGAAAATCAGCTCAAATCTCTTCAAACACGGATATCTATTGTGGAAACAGAAATGGGACTTAACCCGACTCTTCCAATGAGTGAAAATGGGATTAATGGACAGACTGGAAATGTAAGTTATGACGTCATTTCTTTTCCCAAAATCAACAATGAGAATTATTGGAACTATTGTGGAGCTAAACCCAAAGTTGACAAAGCTAAGAATGACAATAGGAGTGAAATAAGGCCACAACTAAATGTTCTGAAGACTTCAAACCGCTTTTTACCCCTTTCTGAAACAACAAAGCTGCTAAAAACTGCAGCGCCTCCACCAAGGACAAACTGTATCCTTATCGGAGATGGTTCAGTGAAAAATGTAAACATGGAGTCCATGCTCACTATCTCGGTTCACTCTGCAAAAGTTGCTGAGATAAGGACTCTCCTGCCTAAAGTGTTATCTGAGAACAGTGGTGTGCGTACATTATTGATCCACACGGGGGCGGTAGATATCTATGAGAAGGCAAGCGAGAAGTTACGAATGGATTTAACGCTGTTACTGGATGACCTCAAGAAAATGGACATAACAATTTTTCTTAGTGGCCCAC